AGTACCTTCATTCCCATTGAAGAGTATAGCCAAAAAATGATTTATTCCTCCTGGACTGTCTCTGACGAGTCATGGGTGAGCACAAGGCACTCTGGGAAGAAGGGTGGAACCTAGCTTGACTGGAGATTGGAATGAAGGAGGAGGAATTGGTGCCAATCTGTGAAGCAGGAACAGAGACCAGGTGAGCCAGCCTGCCCTGGACCCCGTGGGGCACCGGGGGACCTCACGAGGATCCTGTGGACCCCCTCATGAAACTCTGCGGGGTGAGTGGGCATGTGGGGACGCAAGATGAGGCAGACCATGGGCAAAAGCCATCCATCAGGCCAAGCAGTGCAGAGCTGGGTGCTGTAAGTCACTCCCCTCCCCCACAAAGGTATAAACTATGCAAAATTCAGATAAAGATGTGTTATGTGGTTTGTCTTCCTGTGTCAGGAGCAAGGGACCCTTAAGAGAACTCAGGCAACAAAGAGACAAAGGTAACCCACTTATATTTCATTTTAGGTCTCATACAGACATACAGATTTACAGGAGTGTTCCAGTTTATGAAGGGACCATTCATCAGTGGAAACTGAAGACTCAACAAGAGAAAAGTGGTCGTGTACTCCGATACTGAGGGTTCAGATCAAAGTAGGAAACTTTAAGCAGTGGGAGCAGGAAAGCACCAATATTGCACCTTGGAACTGTGGGTTCACCCTCTTGGCTCATGTGTGTGTGTGTGTGTGTGTGTGTGTGTGTGTGTGTGTGTTAATACAGGTAGTTGCCAGCTAGAATTGAGAAATCCCCAGAGATGGGGTGTAAATATCCTGTTGTTCCACCCGAGTGTTCACTTATAGATTCTGAATGTATCTGAGTATATATGGGGAGAGCCAAGAGATCAGGAAAAGAGTAAAACAGCATAAGAGAATGTGGTTAGATTTAGAGTCATCCCTGGGCATATTCAGGAGACATCCAAAACTACAGATACTTGATTCCTTCGCACAAAATGACATCTTACTTGCATATAACTAATATATACCCTCTTTTAAACTTTAAACCATCTCTAGATGCCTGTACTTTACACAATGTAAGTGCTTTGTCAGCATCTGCTATTCTGTACCGTTCAGGAAATTATAAGGAAAATCTGTACTTGTTCATTACAGATACCATTTTTGATCTGCAGTTGGTTGAATCCACAGATGCACCTGTGATACAGAGAACTGATTCTGTCTGCAACTTATACTCTTCAGACTTCACAAGGACTGAAAAAAGAAATTGTGGTTAAAAGAACAAAGTTCCTATAGCAAATAACTAAAGTACAAATGAACAAAAAAACTATAGATTCAGATAGTCTACAAAATGACCCTAAGAATGCTTGCAGCCAACAAACAGGACTCTGGTTGTATTTACCTATTTCCCAATTTACCACCCTATTGTTCAGGAAGTTCAACCTGGAAGTGGTCAGGGAGAGGGAGATCCAGATTCTTCCTGATCTTCCCAGTCCCAGATTAGCTTATGTTTCAACACCACCCACTCAACTATGGGGTATTTCTTAGCAGGATGTCACTAAGGGACCCCCGGGTCTCTAAAAGTAATCCTACAGAGCTGAAAATAGTACCTGCTCCCATCAGACAAACTGATAGACCTTATAATTTATAGGCTCTTCTGTGAAATACTATGAAAGAGTTTGACATGGTGGGAGGGAATATTTGGCCATTATTAATTGCTGCTGCTCATTATTAATTGCTGCTTCCTACTGTCCAAACCAGTCCATTATTGAGGGAAGCCAAGGTAGGAACCTGTTGGCAGAGACCATGGAGTAATGATGCTTACTGGCTTGCTTCCCCTGGCTTGCTCACCTAGATTTCTCATATAGCCCAGGCACACCTGCCCAGTGATGGCACCAGCCACAGTGAACTGGGCCCTCCTACATCCATCAGCGATTAAGAAAATGTCTCACAGACATAGCCACAGGACAATCTGATGGAGAAAATTCCTCACCTGAATTTGTGACTGACTCTAGTTTGTGGCAAGCCTACCAAATAATAAAAGGAGGACTCAAAAGGATCAAATTGGTTCCAAGTAACTTAACCACATTCTGGATTCAAAGTTCAAGGAATTTGTATGAAATATCAAAACACTCCAATTTATAATGCTTGGTATTCAATTAAAGTGAACAGCCATATAAAGGAGAAAAAAATAAACCAAAATGGGGGGAAAAGCAGAATCAGTTGTAAGAGTGAGACCACTGAGGACAAGTCAGCCTTTCGGGTTGCAACAGCAAGAGGTTTATTTGATACACAGGTACCTGTGGGCACAGAGTCTCCTCGGAGGACTTGCGTGCCTACAGGCTGGGGTTTGGCACTTTTATAGAGCAGAAGCAGGGTACAGAAGCAGAAGCGCGGTTATTGGTTAATTCAAAAACACACAGAGTAATTTCAAAAGCACACAGAAATATGGGGTAAGGGTCGGGGCTAAGGGGAAGTGGGATTGCTAAATGGGAGGTGACCTCAGGGACACAGAGGTTTTTCTCCTGATTTCCTGGTATCGAGCCCCAGGGATTGCCAGATGCAGATGGCTTGACCACTACGTCCTGTTTTTCTGATAAGCTAGTTTCTCAATGCCTGACTTCTTGTCAGGCATTCCTATCAGGTGGCCTCATGG